CTAAATGCTCTAAATGTGCTTTTACGCGTAAGCAAAAACAGCCCATTACCATATATTGCTTAGTGTTGGGCAATCTTTGCTCTTAAAATTAAGAAAATTATATCGAGAAAAAATAAAAAATAATCAAACACGCGAATATATGGTAGATTTCAGACCTTGAGAGGTAGATGTGGTAAAAGTCCGATCACTGGTTAAAGCACATTTAACCTGGGATTCAGTAATTCAGGCCCCTATTATGAATTACATTCGATCTTCGACTGTGGTCGAAAGTGCTGATCGAACGAATTTTGATTTGCTATTATGGCGCTCATTCGAAGAATAGCGCTATTGTGAACTTCGCTCGTTTATGTTGTTCACAATAGCATATTTTTCACCGCTGAGAAGCTTTGTTTACAAATCGAACAAACTGAATAGTGTGTTTATACATATTTATGTAAATTTGTGCAAATTAAAATGAAATAAAAAAGAAAGCAAGTTTATAAAAACGTGGTAAAAATTAGTACAACGAAGTTCTGGGGTTCAACGATTCGTCAGAGGATGAGAGTTTAGTGAACTGACCAGGAGAAGTAAATGTTTAAGAGAGTTTAAGTGTACTCTTTACAATATATTTTGACATAAAATATATTTAAGAAATTTATCTACAGATTTACTAAAAACTTCCGAATGTCTAAAGAGGCGTTTGTGAGCCAAATCTATTTAAAATATTTTAAAACTATCCACAGCTCTATGATTTGTTCTCAGAGATCGTGCCAACTGAGTATTGGGATTTTCTTTCACAAGTAAANTACCCCATCGAAAGCAAAATTCTGTTCGACAGAAAATTCGATACTCAACGAAAATTTCGACACAGTTGCATAGCTCATAATACGAATTTCACTTTCGATCTTCGATAACCAGTCTCATCTCTAGTCACTAACCCTGTCATTCAGTAACACCCGATTCACATGATTCAAGTATTTGAAAGCAATTCTTGCTCGTTCTCTTTTGTGTTTTCTATTTGCTTTTACACGTTTCAATTCTCAGTTTCATCCTTGAGCGGAACGTACGCAAAGTACCCATTCTGACGGGGCCATAAGTAATCCATATGCGTTCAAAAAAAAAAAAAAAAAAAGTTATTTTTCTGGGTGACAGTGGCTACACACGACGAACATATCCGTGCACATATGCGCGGCTTGCGGGTCATGTTCGTCGTTTGTAGGGCGGTTTGCGAGCATGATCGCCAAAAACCAAAAAATTTTGATTTTCAGCGAGCATGCTCGTCGTTTGTAGCAAAAACAACAACCTCATTTTGTGTTGATGCTTGCAGTGTGCACATCGGCGGATAAATCCATCCAAGCCATGTGCGTTAATTGAATTTTTGATAAATGAGGCTAAATTACTATATGTATATGTATGTACATACATATAAGTAAAATATAAATAAATTTAAGTAACACATACATAAAAAACCTAAGTTAAAAGCATTGCAATTGCATCATCCGCGTCTTTCCTTTCCATGTTTACGTTGTGAGTATCACTTATGAGCCGCTCGCCGTCTGTAGCAAACGACAGCAGGCATTTTGGCGCATATGTGCACGCAGATGTTCGCCGTGTGTAGCCAGTTTAAAACGTGTGTAATTTCGGCGCCATGTTATTTTCTTTGAAAAATAAACAAAGAATATGAAGACGAAGCATAAAGAAAAAAATGCAAGCAATTTTGTACAACATGTTTGTGCTAACCAATTTATTATTTTTGTACGTGTTTTTTGCAACCAATCACCGCGCACTTCATTTTAATTACATTTGCATAAAGAACTTATTGAAAATCGTTTAAAAATCACTGAAGTAAACCACCGACAAAATACACAAAAAGAGAGAAGCAAAACAGAAATAGCAATCTTCAAAATAACGAATGACACACACCTTTTTCTTAATTGCTTTTACAAATGGCTGCTTCTTAACCGGTCAGATATGTTCTAATTGGTTCATGCGTTTATATCATGAAGAAGACATTGGCCCAAAACAAAATGAAAGACAAAATCTTGATTTTTGATAATTTTATTTGAATTTTTATTTGAAATTAAACAACCGTCACAGTTAACTCCAATTGTTCAATGTGGAAGATTGTGCTTTACAAAAAAGTTTTTTTAAATTAAACAAGTTAAATGGGGCCAATTTGAACGTAATATTATTCTCGCGGGATTTTGTGTCATTCGTTCATTCATAGAACCCGCTCAAAAAATCGACTTTTTCACTTTGTTGTTCTTGCGCAAGTTGCGAATACATTTTGTTCTTTCGTCATTATGTCTCGTTCGTTCATAGGGGGCGTAAGCCCTGGAACAAATATTTGTATATGCTCATGAAACACAGCTATCGGTCTTCGCCTCTATGCACACAAAATGCAACACTGCGTGTACCCTGGAATATAGAGAAGTGCTGAGTCGGTACTTTTAAGTATTGATCGATACTCGGTAGCATCTAAAAAAGTATGCAATACTTTCGATACTCGGTACCGATGTATTAGAATTTCTAATAAGAGTCCGCAATACCCACAAATATGGAATAAAAACTGTTTAGTGATCGTTGAAGTCATTAATCTATGGTTAAAGAAGTCTATTTCTCCACATTATTTGGATCTGAACGTTCTCGTCGCTGGATTAATATCTGCCGCTACGTCAACCACAATGCAAATCGTAATAATCAGGCAGGTTCTGCAATTCACTTTCGAGTGAATTTCAACTAAACTCGTTTTGAATTAAAATTGGCAGGCGTTGAAACTCACTCGGAAGTGAATTGCAGAATCTGCCCGATTATTACGAATTAATAATGTTGCCACAATAATTGTAAGACTGCGGTGATAAGTACAAGAAGGCTCAAATGCTGACATACACATTGCTCATCTTTTGAGGAAGCATCGTCTTATTTGTACCTTTTTTTATTTCGGGCTATGCCATACAAAATAGCAATACAATTTTTTTTCTGCACACTTCAAAAGTATAGTCTTGTGGTCAGTTTTGGCTATTTTTCTTTTGTCCACTAATTCTTAATAATTTTTTTTGTTGAGCATTTTCTCCCATGCAAAGTATGCTCGCCAATTTCTTTTATATGGAGGAAAATACCTAGGAACGTCAGAAACAAAAAAAATTATTAAAAATCTACCCGACTTTCTGACGTTTTAAAATTTGCAGTTTAAACTATTGAAAAATTAATGGGATATGAAACTGTATACCTACAATTGTTTCTAATTTTAATAAAATTTAAAATCTGTAAGTGTAATTGTAGAAAGTTTGTTGAATTTTAATTACAGACTAAATCTATAAGACATCGTTAATGCGAGTGGAAACAGATGTTCCTTTTTACAAGATGGAAAGACTCGTGTTCAGTTAAGTGTCTCTTTATAGTTACGTCTTGTTTTTTGTAAGTTATTTATTTGCTATGTAATGTGCTAGACTTTTATAAAAAAAATTATAAACACAAAATAAAGAAAAGAAAAAGATGTAAAAACTAGTCCAAATGTCCCTAACTTAATCAGCTGACCACAAGTGTATATATTATGACGAAAGTTTAATGTATCGAATCGGTATCGGGTACCGAAAAGAAAGCATTAGGTACCGAAATTTTCTTCAAGTATTGGGAATCGAGTATTTGGTACCGACAATTCAGCACATCTCTACTGGAATAGCGCAAAGCGATTGGTTGTGAAGGAAAGGAGCAGTTCTAATCTAATTAAATTTTATACGCAAATTACAATATTTTTCTTTTAAATCCTAGTATAGTGCTTTCTTTTAATTGATTTCTGTGCAAATTCGCAAGTGAAGCATCTGTGAAAGAAATTCGTTGGAGAAGGTAAGTGTTGGACGAGCGTAGTAAGATGGGGTAAAGCGATTTTTCCATTATTCTTGATTGCAAAATTGCGAAAATGAGGCATTGCGAAAATACGCAATAAAATTTTGCCAGCAAAGTGAACGTTAAAAGCTGTTGCTGTTGTTGTGTTGTTGTTAGAGGTTGTTAATAAATCAGGAAGAATATGAAATTCAGGCTACATCGTTTTATAAAAAGGCAAAGTACACATCACACACACAATTATATATATATATATATGTAAATAAGATGGAATCGCAGGTGTGGTTTTGGGGTGGTGATGTTGAAGGAGGTGGTAAATCCCAACTAACGCAATCCCATTAGGGTAGTATTCGAGTTGTTCATATGAACACGTATGTGCTTATGCAGGCGGTGGGCATGTGATGTGGAAGAACGTAGCGAGCGAGGTAATAAATATGCTAATTATTCGATGTGAATTACACGTCAGTAATTTTAGTAGTTTATTAACTTTAAAGCTAACAGTTAATGTTGCGAGTAATATAAAATCTTAATTTGAAAGTTCTCAATCTGGTCTTATGTATGTATATGCATCATATGTATGTAATTAGCACACGATCCAGAAAATAATCTATCATTCTTGTTATTAGCATACACAGAAATAAAATTCACTAGAACTAGCCAAAATATATAAAAAATAAAATTAAATTGTTATCACATTCGTAATGCTTGACGGAGCTGCGCGTATCGTACGAGCGTACGTATTGAATATTTAGAAAAGTCGTTCTTATCGGCTAATCAACGAACAAAGAAAGACTATGTACATATGTAGGCAATTTGTAAGATAGGGTCTGTCACTGGTGAAAAAACAAAACCAAACGAAAATGTACTGCAACTGAAATTAAAACTGGTTCCAATAAAAAAAAAACGAAAACATTTATATCTTCCGAAAGTGAAATCGCAACTTGTTTCTTACATGCGTTAAATGTGCATTGTTTTAAGTAAAATTATTATTTATATGTATGTTCATGTATACAGGAAGTTTTTCTTTTGTAGTAGTTAATTACTGTCTGCATCATACGTTTGTTGTTAAATATAACTAATTTCAACTTACGATACAGTAAAAGGGCTGCGACAAAACTAATTTGCATAAATGTTTATTATAATAGTTGAATTAAAATAGTTTAATTTCTAGTCGTTTCCATTGAAGATACCTATGCATATTCAGTATGCACATACAACAATATGCAAATTACTACATACTAAGAACGCGAAATAAAGTGCCTTAGTTAATAAAACGATTCTCAGTATATTAAAAAATTTTGTTTTTCAATTTCAGCTTATTTGGCAAAGTGGAATTCGACTCTAATTGCCGGTATGTCCACACAAGCAACGCACGCCCCTTCGGCGCCGGAATTACCAACAACCTCACATGGTGATCCCTCGGCACCGCCTGCTGAAGCAACCGCCGATTGGAGTTATTTTGGTAATACGAGCGGCGGTGCAGAGCAAACTCAATCTACTCGACCCGAAACCTCTACCACAAGAACAACAGATAATGCAAGCGTAGATAACGGCACCATTGCTAACGAAACCAAAGGCTCATCTTCCACAGCGTATTCTTTTCCTGGTAGTGCACTGGGTAGTGAATCTACAGCCAACATTAGCGGCATTAAGTCAGAAACAAACACAAGTGGTGACTCCAAAGCCAATAGTAACGAGGAAGAAAAGGTTGATGATTCCATGTATGAGTGTAATATATGCCTAGATACCGCCAAGGATGCAGTTGTCAGCCTGTGTGGCCATCTCTTCTGTTGGCCATGCTTGCATCAATGGCTGGAGACACGTCCTAATTGTAAATTATGTCCAGTGTGCAAGGCAGCTATTGGCAAAGATAAAGTAATTCCGCTTTATGGGCGCAATAGTACCAAACAAGAGGATCCGAGGTAAAGTTGTGAATAGAGTTAGAAGTATAATTATTATTTTTTATTATGTATGCCCACAACTCCGACCGTTGACTATATTTACAACTTTAAATTTTTTATTAGAAATAAAGTACCACCGCGTCCTGCTGGACAGCGCACTGAGCCCGAACCTCAGCAAGGTTTTCAAGGATTCGGTTTTGGTGATGGCTTCCATATGTCTTTCGGTATTGGCGCTTTTCCATTTGGCTACTTCGCATCATCGTTTAATTTTGGCGAACCACGAGCAGCGGGTAAGTGGAAAAACTTATTTAAACTATGTTTCTGCATTATTTTGCCATTACTAATTCTAATCCGTTTTGCAGCCGCCAATCGTGGCACCACACAATTTGAAGACGAACAGCAACTATCCAAATTATTCTTATATTTGGCATTTTTGTGTATTGCTTGGTTATTGTTCGCATAGCAATACTAAATCCGTGGTTATTCTAACATTCATAAATATATATTTATGGAAAGAGCCTTTTTTAATTTATTGCTCCATGCTTGCGATTATTACTAAGAAGTCTAGCTATATATATGTATGCAATTAATTAAATACGCATAGAAACAAAATTATATATACATACATGCATACTACAAATAATAATGAGGAATGATAATAAGGGGAAAATAAAAAAATCTTTAAGCGTAAAATTGCAAAAANTAGAAACAAAATTATATATACATACATGCATACTACAAATAATAATGAGGAATGATAATAAGGGGAAAATAAAAAAATCTTTAAGCGTAAAATTGCAAAAAAGCGATATGTACATCTTTATATATAACAAGTAAGAAAGTCTAAGTTCGGGTGGAGCCGAACATTGAATACCCGGCGCATGTATTAAATATATGTTTTTTCACCTTTCCGAAAGCTACCGCTAGGTGGTAAGCCGGGGTGTATAAATTTTGAGTAAATTAGCGGCCTTAAATTTCGAAATATTGCAGTTTCAAGCATTTCTGAAATTTACCGTTATATGAAAAGCGGCCGTAATTTTAGTCCGATTTCAATAATTTTCAACGNAAATTGGTAAAACGGTTACCGATATACATATATGTGATCATAAGTGTGCAGTGCCACGCCCATTTTCCAAAATTTTACCATAAACGTATTTCCTGGTAAAGAATTGTTGCAAGCATCAATTTTGAATAAATACGCTTTAATATTTACTGATTTATCGAAGATTTTGTATTTCTTTAAATTATCGTTAAATGGGATGTGGGCGTGGTTATTGTCCGATTTTTTAAAT